CTTATCAATTATTTGACTTTATTCATGGCAGAAAAATATATATTTCTATATATAGCACCAAACAAACCAAGAATACAAGGAAAGGTGCAATGGAGGTTTAGATACCAAATCTGAAAAAAATATTTTTCCACTTTCTAGTTAAAACTGTTCATTCATGATGGAATTATTTGGAAAATAAAAGTTGTCCAATAGCCAAGACTCTTGTGGGTTTTCTTTTCTTTTCTCTTCCCACTGACTCCTGACAACAACATGGATTAACTTATGTAATTTTCAACTAGCATTTCTGGCTGTGATCTGTCATTGCCTACTTTCTAATACTACAAGGAAGTGACTGGCCCCCAAGGTCATCTAATTGCTTTTGTGTCTAAAGCAGGACTAGAACTTCCCTGCTTCTTCTGATTTTTCTGCTTCTAGTCCATCAGACAAAACTGGCTACCTTCATTCAATTAGGCAATGCAATTCCTCCTCAATATTTAGAAAAATAATTCTTACTATCCAAATCTCTATAGAAAGTTGGAAACAAGTTTTGGTTCCTAATTTCTCCCCTTTTCTCACATTTTCTATTTCTTCGTCACCCATGCTTGATATGCCTAATTAAAGGAATGAAAGACAGAGAACTTTTTTAGGATTAAAAATTTGATTATTAACTGTAACCTTATTTTTTGCAAAATAATTGACCCACAAATACTTTCTTGGATTCAAATGAAGAAAGTTTTTTTAAAAAAATCCTTGTGTCAGGATATTGTAAGATATACAGTCTTCAGTAATGGGGAGGCATATAAACCTAAGTAAGTGACCAAGCTAATAAATGTGACTTTATGAAAGTAATGTTTAAAGAATGGCAGCCTGTACATTTGTTCAATTCAGTGGTGACTCTTCGGTATTAAATAAAACTCAAATGAGGCAGATTTCTTCAAAATCTTTAAATCCATGGCAAGAGAACTTAACAGTTTTAACTCAATAAATTCATTTAACATTGTTTATTATCTGAATTCCACTTGTATCTATTTCAGCAGTTTATTTCAGCAGCAATATACCATACATTAAGGATGTAATCTAGTTTTTAAAGAAAAGGCAGTACACTTATTTCAATGGGCAGAACAAACATAATTTTAAAAACCCAACAAAAATGAAATGGAATAGCCAAAATAAATGCATTTGTATTTAATGATTAACTCTTAGATTTTTTATGTATTAACACAAAGTAGAAAACATTATATTAAAACACACAGGCTAGATAATTAGTCGATCTAGCCAAGTATTACCAGCTCTGAAGGACAATAGTATATGCCCTAAGGCAGCAATCTCTTATTCAGTTTTCTTTGACGTAGAATGGGGGACTGTCTATATGCAGCATATATTTTATACTCCTGAGCTATGGCCAGGTATGCTGTGTGCATATGAGATTAAGAAAGAGGGAGAGAGTTGTAGAAGGAACAAGATACTGTACAAACATCATCAACCTACAATGTGTGTGTTTGATGTTGTATAAGGTGTCTGAAATGGCAATGCCAGAAATGACTTCAAAAATTAGTTGCATACTATATGAAATAAAACTGCCAACATTTCCTTTGTACTTTTTAAGTTTTTGTTTGCATGTTTGTATAAATCACAGTCTAAAAGTTGGTCTCAAGCATTATGGATTAATTTTATAAAAACTTATAAAAGTTTCCTACTTTTATGTTAATAATTCCATTGACCAATCATTAATATGGCTGACATGGTAATTACTATGTTACTGGGGTATTAGTATTATAATGGGTATTAGTATTCTAATGGATATTAATATTTTTAATTTTATGAGCAGTCCTTTGAGATAACGGTAAAATTAAGAAATGTTAGTGCTCAATCAGGATGCAGAGTATTTCAGTGTTAATTATTCCCAGCTCTTCCATACCGTTTTAATTTACAAATTACTTACTATATGTACTCTAAGCTTTTTATTTCATACTTACAATATACCCATGCAAATAATAATATAAATTAAATCTGGACAAAACTGAGCATTATTATTTTTAACAATCAAAAATGGAAATTTTCATTTGTGAGATATTTCCAAGAATTCAAGGCGACATCCAATACGCCCATTTATAAAGTTTTAGCTAATGAGGATTAGCTTCTCATATGACAGTTATTTCTTTTAAAAGAAAAGGGTTCTTTTTAAAACAAAAAATAAAAAAACAGGATGTGTTCATTTTGCACCAGTACAGATTCTTCATCTTATGAAATATATACCAAGTAATTGACAACATAGTCTATAAAAGTTCATCCTATAATGAAACACATAACATGTATAACAATGACTATATGTATAAATATCATGTCAATTGCAGCAATTACATTAATTATATTTATCTTAAGACATTAACCTTTCAGGCTTTAACACAAAAACTTGGGTTTCCCTTCCTTAACTCAATATCCAAGATTTTCCTTACCAGTGTAAGGAAAACCAAAGGCCTATTCACATAAAGCCCAAAAATCCAAAATGGTCTGAACAGAACAGCGGATTCACTTCAAAACCATTATCTTGCCTTTTTCATTAAAAAATCCTTCTCCAATCTAGGTCTTCATTTATTTAGTAAATGCAAATCTTTCAAAAGTTAATAGTTTGGCATATTTTTAAAATGTGAAGAGATAATGCAAAATTGCTTCTACACATTTTCATACCATTCAAATCTGTTCAACTACAAGCTTATGTATTAGAAACAATAATTTTGTAACCTTTTTGCATTTTCTCTGACAGTACTAAGAAGAAAAGAAAGTAAAGGGGAAAACTATTGGCCTGAATTTGTAAGAAAAAAGATAGGAAGAACAGTCTCTAACTAACTAATCCTTGTACTACATATAAAATTTGAATTTGTTTGGATCAATTCTAGATATGATTGTTTAGCCTTACTCATTTGTGAAATGGATGTTTCAGCCTCCATACACTGTGACCATTCTCTCCAGGCACAGCAATTCAGCATGTTCAGGTCCACTTTATATTCCATGTAACTATATTGCCAGCAGTCGTGTGCATGGTGGTCTCACACAGGGCAAGTGATGTCCTAGCAGAGTCTGTGTGAAGTCTACTTTATAATACCCAAGAGAGGAAATATCCCTTTAGCTCTCAATTAGTGCTGACAAATCCATGTCTTTATGCACTCAGCTATATATGTTATGGCCTTTGAGATGCTTGATTCCTTTCCTATATAAACTGTGCCCAGTGGGTGTGAAGGTTACAAGAAGGTTACAAGTTCCACTATTAGCCACTAATATTTTGGTCCTGTGTTGTACTCGGCATAGGCTATCTATTTCTGGATTTTAAAAAATGGATGTTCAACTTCAATCTTCTCTTTTAACATTAAGTTTACATTACAATATTGAGGGTGTTTCTCAAATGCAATCATGAGTACTAAAAATCTCTTTTTAAAACATAAATAATAATAAAGTCTTAAATCAAGATTTCATAAATTTCTAGAAACTATTAATGGGCCTCCAAGAATCTGAAAAATCATATTGTTTTAGACATTCTTTCTATTTAATTAGTTGAATAAAAGTTATATGTAAATGCAGAAAGATGACACACTCACAATAACAATAAACACATTGACTCATTTACCAGATTCAAATTAAGGAATGGAATAATGAGGAAGAATGTTAGTCAGCTGCTTATAATGAATGTGTGGTATAATGCACCACATTCAAATACCTCATTTAAAATACATGTAACATTTTTGAATTGGCTAATTGTTTATAGTTGCAGCAACTAAAATTCACTTTCACATATATTTACATGCAAACCATGCCCAGGATTATAAATACAACAGCATAGTCCTGAATTCTCCATCAAATAGCTTAAATTGACACTCAAGGTTTCATACAGCACTACCACTTCCCATTCCCTGTTACTACACAGAAAGCTCTTTTTGGTGATGAATTAGAGGAGGCAGCTGGGGTGAACAGGCGGGAACCAGCTGAAGTACAGGGAAGACAAAAAAATTCTGCTAAATACACAAATATCTGGATCATGAGAATGTCTCCAGACTGACTGAATTATGACCAAATGCTTCAGTGACAAGAGAGAATTTCCTTAACCAAAGGGTCTCGCATCAGATGCTTATACATCTGACAAGATAAAATTGTTCCCCATACACATATATCCCATTCCACCTGGTTTCTGAAACTTCAGAAGAACATCTTTATTCAAGCAGTGGAGAGAGCTAAAAGATGGATGTTTGACCTTGCCTCTCTCCCAACCTACAGGCCAAGACCTGCCCTGTTCCCATTCAAATGTGTAGGAAAGAAATATTCAGAAATCTTGGTTTAGAAAGACATCCAAGCTTTGATGGAGACTCTCTGGGATACATAGAGTTTTAAATAGAATGTGGCACACTTTGAAAATGGAGGAAAAAGCAGTCCTGCTTTAAGAAACCTTCTTGTTAAAAGGAATATGACTTTTTTTTTTTAATTCAGAATCATGTCAAGCTGACTAAAGAAATAGAGGAGAGATGCTGCGCATATGTGGCCTGATGTTCTTTATCTGAATCATTTTCACAATCTAGAGGGCCCAGATTTAAGGTCCATTACTTGATTCTGCTCAGTTGCAAGGATTGAGGACTGGCAAATAAATACCCAGATCTTGCAAGCTAGACAGTGGATGCTCCTTCTCTCACTGATTAAATGGAGAGAGAAAAAAAGTGCAATAGAAATCTTTGTTTTACATTATTTAGATGTCCAGAAAGAAAACAAATATTAAGTCTCTTTGTTTAGATTTACTAGACACTGAACAGCATAAATTAACATTAGCCAGATTGTTGTTTTTGTCTTAAACAAGAGGCTGAAGAGGGAAAAAATGACAAAAGAATATACTGTATGCAAAATAAGAAACAAAGCAGAATACTTGCATAAGATAAACAAAATATCTCAAAGACTAGTATTTGATTATGTATTATATGCATTTTCTACTATAACGTTTTCTACCCAGGTGTCATTTTATACATGATCTCGATTTCACTTACTGTTAGATGCTGGAACAGCCATGCCCTCATGATATTTGTGGCTACTTTGGGAAAGATGCCGCGCTTTTTATGTCGCTTTTTGTCCTTATCTGGATCATCATCATCACCTGTGCTGGGAGAAGCTACACTGTTGTCCAAGCCGTCACCTGTAAACATAGTGAACAAATGTCTCACTTTAGTTATCTTGAGATTTTATGACTAAAAATTAATTGGGTAGGTAAATACACACCCAACATGTGTACTAAACACACACACGAATAATCATAAACCTAATGAAAACTCACACTATTTCATGAAATAATTTTAAACCTATCACAATTTTTTTTTGCTGTTGTGAATTCTAAATCACAACTGCAGCACAATATCATCTATTTTCTGGTTGCAGCGCTAAGGATGTTCCTTCAAGTCCCACTTTAAGATTCTAACCATTAAAGCTGAGGTTTTCTGAATGCCAATAATGTGCTCTCTTACTGAGCTATATACACCATATATCCAAACCAGATTGAATTTTATAGACTTTTTAAACAATGCCAAGCACTTACAACTAAAGCTATTTGTAAATATGGAAGACATTATTTGGAACCACGTCTGGGAGCTTTAAATAAGGTGAATCACTATTACAAATTAAATGTTTTCAAATTCTGATGAGAAGTTACATAATATCATCTTCTCACATTAAGATTAGAATATAATTATATTTTGGACTTTTCTATTTGTTCACATGCTGTTATGCATTCTGTTTCTCATAAAACAGGTTCAAATTGTGTTAAAATGTATGTACTTTTTAGGAAAAAAATCCTTAGGAAGGTACACTTAAGATAAAACCATATATAAATATTTATTTGGGGAGTTAAAAAATAGCCACACATATTTAAATAAAACTTTTGTAATCCTTTTTTCAAATTATCATATAAAAACAAAAATAGAGTCAAACAATTTGTGAATGGACACATGCAAACCCAGGGTAGCGCAGAAATAAAACGATTCATTGAACTCTTATTATTGTTACACCATCTACAACCCATCAAATGCCTGCCTTTCTGAATTTTATTAGTGAAACTCAAAGTTAAATTTATAGAAACCAGTTATTTATGCTGTGCTTTTAGCTTATTTTTTCATACTGCAAAAAACACAGCAGTTTAAAATCTGAAAAGCATTTGTCAGGATAGCTTAGAATAATTACTTATATTTCAATTTCATCTTTTTCATACGGACAAGGTGTCAAATTAAGAGTTCTCAACTGTCACAATCTTTATAAGCATTTGTGTTTTGATCTAATTTAGGCAATTACTATTAAAAAAAGAAATACTTAAAAAGCCTTTGTTTTAAATAGGCATTTTAATTATTCAAAATAATGATTGAGCATGCAATCTTGTAAGAATTTATTCTTTAAAAAATGAGTGTGACTACCTTCATAGAAGGCTCTTTGCTTCATGAAAGTTCAACTGAGGCCTTCATATTTCTAAAAAGGAACCCTCATAGTAATACTTTAGATGTCTTAGGCAGATAAAAGTCTTTGAAAGGTTTTATTCAGGAAAGCAATTCCCCATATAAAGTAATGATTCATAAAATAAACATAAGCAAACAACGGGCATTTAAAATTTCCCTGTACTAATCCACATCCTCTAGTCTGATGGGCAATTAAAAAGAGGCAAGGAAGGAGAAATGTATCAGGCGGTCAATGGTTAAAAGTAAAAGGGCTTCTAACGTGATGACATCCTATTGCTTGTTCTTTTTTTAAATATACTTTCAGCTCCCTTACCACCCATCCACCCCGCCCACCCCCACCCTGGCTTCAAATTATTTTAGCAAGCCATGCCTTGTGCCTGGATAGAAGAGAATTCATTGATAATTTATGGAAATATCTACTATAATTCAATGGAGATTTTTCCCCCCAGCTTTGTGCATCAATAGATAATCAAGGCCTCAAAGCAGCCTTAGCTTAGCATTACCTCAGGCCAAAGAATTCCTGAAAGCATGCCTTCGGGGCACCTGAATTATAGACACCATTAGGAGGGGAAGGCTTTCTGCATTCCATGAAGAACACTCTCTCAGAACCTTTCCTGTTTATTTCTGCTGTATGAAAGCAGAAACATTAGGGACAGAAACCACCATCACCACCCCTTTTTGAAAGGGGAGGCTTATGGAGATACAATGGAAAAACCTTTCAAGCAAGACCCAGATCACCTCCCGTCAGTCCCAGGCAGTGACCTATCCCAAATAAAAGATTTCTGTTACATCATTAGCTCAAGCCAAAAACAGCCTTGGCTTAATGCACAGTTTGTTCTTCCTACTGTTTTTAGGCAAATACAGCTACTTTACTCCCATCTGGGAGGGAAATTACACTGCTGGGTTGTAATCTAAGACAAGATTTTCATTGGAAGCAAATGCTTTCAATCCCATGTAAAATACTTGTGCACGCTCAGAGAAGCTTAAAACAATAAACTCCAGCCCAGTCCAACAGAAGATAAAAGGATAAGAGGGGGGGAAAGCAAATTAATGAAACCAAGGTCCTTTAGAAGAAATTACTTCTATAGATTTTAATGCAATTGTTTCTGGAGGAGGGGGGGAAGGATTTGGAAACTTGATTCTTTGTAAAAGAAAAATCTCAGCTAAAAGTCTAAACAGCATGTCCATTCACTCTGCAATTCAATACTGTCACCTCTATAAGGTCTCTTGAGAATACTTTTCCTCTTCTGCTTTCTCTACCCTACTTTTTTAAAAACAACAAAAAAAGGACTCGAAAACTGGCTAACTAACCACATGGTAGCAACTATGAACCAGGTTTGTGAAATGTCAGCAGTGACTTCATGCTTGAAGTTGACTTCTCCCACTGCCAATGAAGGCAAGCTGAAAAGGTGGAAATAATCATAAAAATGATGCTAGTCCATAAACAAGCTTACAGCCTCATTAGTATAGCAGTAGATTCCACTGGGTGATTTATACTCGTTTTGCTGATGCCATGAGGAAATGCCATAGGGCAACTTCAGCCAACTCCTAATGGTTTCTGACAGCTTCTTAGCAACTAGTGCAAGCAACGCTGTGGCGTTTGTTAGTAAGAGAAACTGAAAATGTCATATTATCTGTCCATGTGCCACAATGTCCATGTGGCAATTAACTAGTAGTCCAGTGACTGAGGGGCCAGAGGCTTTTAAAAATGCCCCTTGGCTATATAAGGGCATTGCTTGAATTTGTGTTGCACATATATGCAAGTTTCTAATGCAAAAGTCTGGTTGTCACTGGCATCTTTCTCATGGCCATTGATGAGTTGGCCTGCACAATAGGCTCTTGGAAGAGCATATTTTGGGAAGGGAAAAAGGGAAATCCATTTCCTTTCTTCTTTCAACACTAATGACGTTATCAGAGTAATTTAGCCCTTAAAAAGTACCTTGATAAGCCTTGCTTGTAAATAAATTTTGCTTGCAAAATACCTGGACCCCTGCTTTTGAACAATGAGTGGATGACAAAAAGAGCTAGTTCTTTTTCTCCTTTTTCACAAATTAGTCTAAAAGGATTTGAGATCAGTGAAGCAGACTCATTGCCTGCGAAATTGCTAGAAGCCTAAGAACTCAACATAGCAAGTAGAAGACACTATTTAATCAAAACAAAACAATATAAAACACATACACCACAAATCTTACAACAACTAAAATGACAGCTATGGCTCTACAGTGCACTTTCTCAGATCTCGAAATAATGCAACATATGTTAAACTTTTTAACCCTTTTAGTGTGGCCTTTTGATCTTTCAAATAATATTTAAGTATTATTTTTAAAATACTTTTCAGGTTGTGGTTTTGTGAAAGGGGACAACTAACCAAGATATTTGTACAACAATCTGCCCACATACAATTCCTCACAAATTTGGGGCCTAACCCGCAGAGCAGGGCAGATGACCTGTGACAACTCACAGATTGTCCCGAGGCTCAGATTTCAAACGCACTTACCTCAAACAACTCCGAGTTGCCTATTTAAGCATACCCCAGCATTTAGGCTGTGCTATCTTGTTTCTTTCAAGACAGGATAAAGAAGCATTTATTGTATTCAGGCCATTCAGTGACTCAGACTGGCCATGTCAGCAGGGGTTCCTCTCGTTCAGGTCAAATCTCTACCCTTTCTCTTCCTAAAAGGTCCCCTTTGGTTCTCTTGATTGTCCCTTTTTACTTCCCCTCCCTCCCAAGAAAGTTACACACAGAGAATATATAGGAAAGAAATCCTAGAATTCCATTCTTCAGCAACATTACATTGAATGAGCTCAGGCTCGCAATGAATGCCAAAAATAACAAAAAAAAGTTCTTTGACTTTTCTCTTGTTTCTTACATACCCCCCAAAAAAGATTCTTTGGGTATGTGAGGAACAAAAGTCAAGGAAAATGTCCATTGGTTGGAGAAGATGGCATGATGGGCAAAGACAACAGGAAGAAGGCTCAAATGTTAAATTCCTATTTTGCATCTACTTTTTACAAAAGAAAAAAAAATGTCAGGAACTATACCATATGAGAGCAGAAGAAAAATGCAGATTCAAATAGTCAAGGAAGTGAAATGAAAATACCTAGTTGTTTTGCGTGAATTCAAGTCACTAGGAATCAGACAGATTATATTTGAAGGTACTAAAGGGATCAGTGGGTGTGATCTCAGAACCACTGATTGTAATAATTTAGAAGTTATTAGTAGAAGCTAGCATAGGTTTATTAAAAAATTGTTTGTCCTAGACAAACCTTACTACTTTTTTTTTTGACAAGTGACTAGTTTAGTAAATAAGGGAATGTATATGTAATATTTCGTTAAGCATCTGGTATAGCTGATCATAAGACTCCTTCTTGATGAAGTGGAATAGTTCGGGACAGGGGAGTCCAATTATGAGATGAATTCATAGTATTGAAGAAGCAGCACATGGTTCTTTAATCTTTACACAGAGGGAAATATATCAGAGCTTTGTCCTGAGCCCAGTGTTCTTCAATGTTATTATAAATAGCTTCCTAGATAAGGAGAGAGAGGGACTCAGAGTATACATGTATATTGACAGACTTAAACATTTATTCTGTGGGATTGCTAAAACTCTACAAGAGAGAAGTAGTGTTCCAAATCACCTTGATAAGAGAGAAAAATGGTTTGAAAGTAACAAAGACCTCTGAGATCCCTTCCAAT